GAACATGAATAATAGCTATTCATAAACACAAACTATTCAAATATATGGTAGAAATCATTTGTAATATGAGAAATATGGAATCTCTTATTGATGAGTTCTTCTTGATGGTTTCTAGAAAATTGATCAACTACCAAAATAATATATCATATCTTGAACCTGAGAAATGACTTAGAGCCATGAACAATAAGATGTAATCCATGTATAATAATCAAGTATGAGCTTGATTAATCTTCCTCCCTATATAAAGGATAGAAGGAGTAAGTAATTCTTTTAGAATAAATACAAACATGGAGATCTGTACACATTTATCAAGGCTTGTTGTTAAAGGCTTTTCTTATACTCATGTCAATGGCTATGATCAAACATTTTCTTAAGTAGCTATGATTAGATCAATAAGGATATTGTTCACCATAACTGCATATTCTGATTATGAGATATGACAAATAAATTTCCAGAAAAACTACTTTCCTTAATAGACACCTACTTAAAGATGTCTATATATCTTAGCCTAGAGGTTTTCTTAATTCAAGTTATCCTAATAAAATATGTAAGCCTTAAGAGCCATTTGTGGATATAAAGAAAACATCTCAAAGTTGGAATCATCATTTTAATATTAAAAATACAAGGTATGATTTTATATCAAAATAAAGATAACATCTGTATTACTAAGAACTAGTGGGAGCAATGGTGATATTCCTAATCTTGTATGAATTAGACAAACTTAATCATGAGAAAACACATTTCGACCATGCAGGGCTATTTCACCATGAATCGAAAATTTTTTCTAAGATGAAATACTTATGAAAGTAAAGATACATTCTTGGAATTTAAAATCTATAGAGATAGATAAAGATGAATGTTAAAAGTTTTAAATCATTGTGCATAAGTTGACAATATCTTGAACGAGACCAAGAATCTTGGCATTGCCACATGGCACCATTTTGAGCTAGCCTCAAAAGGACCTACACATAGGTTTGAGGTATATAAAATGATTTTTATTCTATTTGTTTTGAAAAATGAGTCCATTCATGCCATATTATGCATAAGACTAGGTATATTATTATGTTGTGAGCATATCATACGATACCAATTGGAAACATGGGTAAGTCATTAGATTACTATAAGGACATTCTTAGAGTAATTAAGAAAAATAAGAGAATGTACATGAGATAATCAGTTTAGAAGAAGATCTTATGTAAAGAGCTATACAAGATGCTAACTTCATATATATATATATATATATATATATATATATATATATATATATATATATATATATATGTGTGTGTGTGTGTGTGTGTGTACATATATGAATTATAATTAGATTATGACTTCATTATGGAATGAAGAGTAAATTATGTTGGAATGAGGTCTAAGAAAAACATGATAGAACAATCTATTACAAAATAAGAATACATTACTTTAGAAGTTGTAATCAAATATGACTTGATAAATAAGAATACAGTACTTTAGAAGTTGTAATCAAATATGATTGGATAAATAAGTTTATTGAAAAACTAGGTTGAGTCCTTCCATTCAGGGATAACTTAGAAATCTTTTGTGACTTCAAAAGTATAATTAATCAAGCTAAGAGATTCTAAATCACATCAGAACACCAATGATATTCTCCAAGATATTTAATTATACTTAGAATAAAGTCAAATATAGAGATGATAGTATTCACAGTATTCACACAAATTAAATTTAGTTAGTCCCATTAATAAAGTCATTCCTTTAAGCTAATCATGGATGGTCACACTTAAGCTTAGGACTTTGTTATTCTAGAAATAAGATTTGATTTTGATTTAGTATTTAGATATTGAAACATTAAGATAATAACTATTATATTGTTTTGATATATTAGGATATGATATTTACATCAATACTTGTTGTGTTCAACATTAACATGTTTAATCCATGAATAATCTAATTAGTCTAAATTTTCATAGTCGCTTATAATTGTGGGAGCAGTTATGAAGTAAAACTAATATGATTGGATTGGTTGACTCTCACAAGCTAAAAGTAGGGAAAAGGTTGTAACCAAGATTCACTGGTACTTGTCAGAGAACCGGTACTAAACAAACATGCATCAAGATCACCTCATAGATCATAATTATGAGTGACACTTGATAAAAAGGTACTATCTCTGTATCCTTAATACCTGAGATACATATTGGAACTTAAGTGTAGGAAGTCCTATGCTTTGATGTGGTCAAACACTAATACTTAACCTGGTAGTTATAAAATCCATTACCATGTGTAGTGTGAACTATGCAAGAGGCTTATATAATCAAGATGGGATTTGTTACTCTTATGTGTTGAGAGGAAGACATTTATATCATGTTACCCAAAGTTTAACATCAAATGAGAGTGATTGTGATCGAAGTCTCATGTTCAACAAGATGTATGTAACAAATGAATAACTAATAAACTTACCTTATACATCAATTGTAGCTTTGAGCTTTTGGGAATTGGATGTTGATGAATGGAATTCTTTGTTGGGTGTTATTGAGGGTAGTGAAATGTTTCTAGACATTCACCATTGTCTATATCATTCTATTACGAGTCTTGTGCAAGCGGTAGTTTGAAAGATCTTTATGCCTAAGAGTCATTATAGAATGATATTTGCTAATGACATATGGTCCTATAGGGTGACACCTTATAACAAGTTACTACTAATTGATTATTTATTAGAGTTGTTTTTATTATTAATAAATATCAACACTTGTATTTAATTGAAAAAATATTATTTTATGAATATCGTATTTTACCAATATATTGAGAATTATTGTTACTAGGAAATAATAATAAAAAGAACAAAAACTAGTAAATATCATATGGTATGAATATTAATGTTGTGTACAAACGTTTTGGGCACTTTGAGTTATCACTTAGTTTGATTCTAACTTGCTAGTTATGGGATGGAGTGCAAGACACGTTTTAGTCTTGACTTTCGCCACCAAAAGTCAAGGTAGAAGGAAGAAGCAAAGGCTTGCTTATTGTCTTTCATCTTACATCCTTACATGTCATAAGAGTACGCCATACTATCATTTAATGTTATCCTTGAATTAGTGCATAATGATATGTGTATAAGGAGTGCCTAACTAAGAGAAAGGGTGGCTCTTTTGAGCATATTTCTTAAAAAAAAGGATGCCATTTTTGAGAAATTCGAGCTCTCTCACCCTCTCTTCGTTCTCGCAACTTAGTGCTAGATTTGAAGGTTTATATGTTGCTTTTCTTTAAGGTTTATTTGGTATACAATTTAAGGCTTAAGAACAACTTATATACAAGTGAAGACTAGCATCTTTGTTGGTTTATCCTTGCTTGGTGGATACTTTTAGAGAGCTTATATTTTGAAGCTTCATGAACCACTTCATCAATTTCCATCTCCCATGATAATCAAAGTCTTCAAAGGTTGTAACACTTTTCTTTCTATGGTTGATTTAATTTTTCCATGTTTTGCAAAATGATCATTGGTGGGTTAAAAAATGGTTTTAAGTTTATTCAATTTTAAAACTTCTGTTGCCGTTTTTAGCGTTTTTGGGAAAACGATTTTGAATAAAACCCAACACACACACACGTATATATATATATATATATATATATATATATATATATATATATATATATATATAGTAATACCTATTTTCTTAATGACGTGTATTGGGATTTTGGTCCTTGATGATTCTAATGACCCAAAAATTCTTTAGGTCCAAACCCTGAGATAAAAAAACACAAGTGAGTTGTCGACCAGGATTGCTCCCAGGAGAATGATCCAATGATGAAGTTAGAAACTGATAGAGTAATTTACAATCTTATGAATTTAGGTCACATGTGTTGGTAACATACCTTTGCCGACCTATCGAGTTCATCTTAACCGACGATGTGAAATGTTCCATGTAGACGAGCGTCTAATCCTCATATATGCTCTCCTTACTGAGCGTACAAGAATTATACTAAGGAGTGGTCATTGGTTATGTCAGTTTGTTATTGGTGAATCATTGGTAGACTAAAGTATAATACGGCCTAGACTTTTTCAGAGTTATTAGTTGTGCATATGTTGCATGTATCCGACGATTGCTCCTTTGCCCGACTTTTCTCTCCTGACCTTGCTTTCTTATGCTAGTTTGGTTTAATAGTCTCGACGTAAATGGTTCGAAATACCATACATCGGCATCCTAGTTTGGAGGTATATACCTCGGTAATTAGGTATATACCTCATTAAGTCCCCTAGTTAGGATTGTTGAGTGACAATTCGAACTAGCCATTACGCCGCTGAAACTTCCTAGAGAAACGAATAAGTCCTATTTAGGTCCTAGGTATTCTATTAGACATTTACCCATTTCTATTTTTCACCATTTCCTTGTAACATTGCAACTGCCACTTTGAACGGTCCACTGTTTACTATAAATCAGGATCCAGGAAACCGCTTCTTCTTCATCTGCTCATACTTCCTTATTTCTTCCCTCTTTAAGTATATTCTTTCTCAAAAAACCTCGAAACCTAAATTCTCCGCCATGACTAAAGATAGTCTCCGGATTCATAGTGCTTAATCGATTCTTACTTAGAACCAATTGAATTAATTGGTGGAATCTTACCATATAGATCCTAGATTCCATCCCCAACTTCCATCTCCAAATCAAACCATCACCAATCCTCTACTTGGTTGTGTTGGTATACACTTGATCATTTTCAAGTTAGGTTTATGACTTTTGTCTTTTCCTTTTTTGGGGGTCGTCCTTGATTACTAAAAGGTTCATATCGCCCAAGTAACTCTGAATGGATTCCGGAAGATCATGTGTTTTGTGCTACTAAGCAAAGCCATAAACATTCTTCCTTCACTATCTCTTTTTTGTTATTTCTATGTGCCTATGGTTACCAAAGACTGGGTCTTTTTTTCCCTGCATTGTGGGGGAATCGACATATGCAACAGCTTTCCTACATCCATCAAGAAGTGGAAAGAGTTTTTGTTCATTGATGCTTCAACTATCTCTATATGAATGCAGTTTGGTGATCTGGCGAACCGTGATCCCGACCCTGCTCCTGAACTAGTCGTTGCAGAGCACGATGTGATTAAGAGACTCATTGCCTATTACCTCATTTGGTCTAACCCTGATGAGTCAACCATATGTTTGGCTAATTTAGATAACACTTATGGGGCTCCTATTGCGGTTTTAGTCCCCAATTTGAGAGGGGATGATCTATCCTTGCTGGAACGACTTCATCGGAAGCGTCGGTCTATAGGCGTAAAGGTGGGAAGCTCGTCTAATCCCAAATCCGACCCATCATTTGATGCCGATGCCAGGGGTGAATCTGAGACGATATTGGATTTCGTCATTCCCAACAGCCCGATGAAGTCCATTGGTCTTACCTATTTATCCTCTAAAAGTACTCACAGCAAGCGTGCATAAGTTCGTCCAAACCCGTCATCGAAAGGGGCTTCTGGTGCCGTTCCTACTATGGCTCACAAGCGTAGATTTCGACCTTCGGATTCTTTGGCTACTAGTCGTATTCCTCCCCTATCTTTTCCTAAGAAAATGCATACTTATCGTTCTTCGTCTAATCGAGGCCCATGTGTTGCCGACACCCCGCCTAACCTTCCACTGATCACTCATGCTTTGTCCGGTAAGGCTCTTCATGACTGCGTGGTAACTTCTGATCTTGCCTTAGCTTCCACTATAGATTCAATTTCATCCACCCCTGAGGCTCCTCCAGCATCTTCCGAAGCCATAGTCTGTCCGACTGCTATTCGATCAGATTCCGTGTTTATTACTACAAAACCAATCCCCAGTGGTTCAACCGCCAAGGGTCATCTTCGTAGGGGTGAGCTTGAAAAGATTATGTTTCGTCAGAGGCTATTCAACGCCTTTGCTCCCCAGGCTTCTGTACTGACTTCTGATCCTCCAGTATCTACTGTCTCTCTAGTTGTCACTCCAGTTGTTCCTTTATCCACTAAGGATCCATCAGATTCTGCTAATGTTATTAATCTAGACTCCCTGATTCCTGACATGGATGCGAGGAATTTTGATTATGCCGGATCTTTCCATGGTTCCTCTTCTTTTTAGCTTTTGCCTCTTCCAAAAATGGGTATGTACTTCTTCTATGTCTCATTCCTTCCCATTTTTTTGAAAATAAAAATAAATGATACTTAACTATTAACAGGAGGTGCCCCACCCTATTTTCCAACATCCCTGCCAGTTTTGGTGTCAATGGCCTCTTCGCTCCCACCCTTCCTTCATCCATTTACCAGTAACATGTTTTCCCAACTCCTTTCCTTGGGAAACATGATCGATGAAGAGGGTATGGATATGGCCCGTACCGATATCTTGGAGGGTCTGCATTGGATGAATGAGGTTTCATTGTGGAACAAAGATAGGAATGTCGCCTTTACTATGCAGTGGATTGAGTTTGAGAGGGCTTTCAAGCTTTTAGAAGATCTTAGGGCAAACTATCAAGCTTTGGAGAGGGAAAAGCAGGGCTTGTCTTGGAGAAGGATGATCTTGCTGTTAAAAAATGGTCGTTTGCTTCGAGAGTTGGATCATTATTCCCAACACCATGAAGAGCTTCTAAGGATGATTGCCGAGTTGAAGAATGTAACCAGTAAAAAGAGTGCCCATCATGTTGCCTTGGCCACAAAATAGGAAGAAATTACCAAACAGAACTCTGACTTGGGTTTGGTTTGTTCTGAGAAAGAAAACCAAATTAATCAGCTTAAGGAGAGTCTCGCTGAGTTCCAGCTCAAACTGAAAGATTAGATGGCTCATGCTGAAGAATTATGGTCTGAAGCCTCTACTTCTAAACAAGAAGTCCTTTTTCACCAACACCTGGCCGAGCAGAGATTTGAAGAACTTCATTGGATTGTACGGGAGGGTATATCTTCTTCGGTTCCATATGTGTTGAACTCAGAAGAGTTTAGCACGATGAATGCTACGCTTCAATCTGCCGCCATTGAACTTGGTCTACTCCGAGATTTCCTTCAGATGAAGATAAAATACTCAGTGGAGTTTGATGGAAAAGAAGTTTTGTACTCCTATCCAAATGTCGAGGATGATATACTACAACGCTTCTTTTATCTTACCAATTATGACTATCTTTTCTTAAAGATGCAAAATACTGGTAGTATGGACGCGGGTTTATTGAAGAAGCATTTGGAGGATTCTGACTTAACTACCGATGATGATTAATGCGCTCGCTTTAGCATGATCGATCAGAGTAAAATATGTGGTTTAACAAAAACCTTTTAAATATTAGAGTTAAATAGTTTGGTGTTACGAATTCAATATCCACAACCACATTCCAAGAGAAAGGATTATACCGACTCATCTAGATCTAGCATAGTCCTTATCTTGCGACGCCCTTAATCTTCATGTCTTGAGCCTGTGTACATAACACAAACTATGTTTTTCCGAAAACATGTGAGCTACATGGGTTTGACTCAACAAAATACTCAAAAATATAATTTCAAATAAATTTGAAATATAATAACCACATTAAAAATATAAGCATGTCTTAAACACCAGGTTCATAGGAAATCGACCTACTAGGGACACTATACCTAAAGTCCCAAAATTCAAAATTGTATAAAAATAAATTGCACCACCAATAACCATAACCACCTATCCAACTTCGAAGGAACAAATCAGATCTTTTCTCTGCCGGAGAAATATACCCTTGGTCACTACTTTTGGCTAGTAGTGCAGACTGTTCACTACTTTTCGCCAGTAGTTTCAACACCATCGTACGAACCTAAATATTCAAAACTATGAATGCATTCATACTATAAACATCGAAAGATCATCATGAGTAAACCCAATCAATCAAATACCTAAAGAATCTCATGTGTCAAATAAATAGCAACACCCAAAGGAGTGATGTATTAAAACATCCGTTAGACCCACCAATAAATTGACTTACCAATAAATCAAACGACTTTATTAAAAATCAATAATATTCGATAGTAAATGTTCAAAGCATATTAACCACCAAAGTTCCCCCTTTTTATAAATCTGAAAACTCGAAAACTCAAACTCATGCTTTCAAAACATTTTCACCAAAAACACTTGCTTAATAACAACTATCACCATATAAAATAATTCATCTAGAAAAATCACCACACGTACAATATTTCACTTTGGTATGTACCTAGAAAGTCCATATATACTCAACTAGTCAGTTAGTGAAAACTAACTATTGCTCTAGTCTTAAGCTTTGTGCTACCTCTCCTCTTGTCACCTTGTTAACATCTATTTACACAATATACCAAGTTCCTCATAAATTTTTGGAGCTTATTTGATATATCCACTGCAGTGGTCATTCATCCGACAACAAACCAATCTTGGTAACCAATGGAACTAGTCAAACTCCAAAATACAACTTCTAAATGACTTAACTTTGTAATTTGTTAGCTTAATCTCACACATATTGCAGTTCCTGTAAACTAGGGTTTATAAACCTCACCACCCAGACTAAGTATTTCATTGTAATATTTATCTACTTATCTTATCATTGAGTTCGTAATAACACCATATCACGAATCTATGTAACACATTCATGATCTATCAACCCTCTACAAGACACATACATAAATATAATTACGTAACAATGAAAAAGAGATAATACTTCAACCAACCTAATGGTTCGTACCCTTGTAGTGTCATCAACGTTCATCTCTCTATCAGCTATTATCCGCTCACACTTACTTCTAGTTTTTGTCACCCAAAGATACCCGTCAAACATAACCCCTTAACTTATATATTTTTTAACCAGACATAGGATGTGTCATGCTTTTCCATTGGTCACTTCACTACCATATGTCCCAACTAAGACTCTGCCACATGTACTAATCTCCTGACGTGTGTGAAGAGCCTTATCACGAAGAAGCGTTGTGCCACCGTCAAGGACACGTCGCGTCCATACTTACACCCTAGTTCCGCCACATTTTTCTCTTTCTTCCATGCATCACCTCTCTTCAACACATGTACTATCCTACTATTATAAGTGTCTAATGACTGAATCACCACAATGCGTTTCTATTAAAGCATTTTCACGTTGTAGCCATGTTATATTCTATTGAATGTCCTTGAATTTAAGCCTACGTGCCACGTGTAGGACTAGTGCAGGTCGCGTTTCTCTATTTTATAAAAATTTCAATTTTAAATAACTTGTCACTTTCTTTACAACAGTCGACTTTTTCCAGGCTATACCAACGATCTTCTCATCGTAATACTTGTTATGTAATGAGGTATATACATAATTACCGAGATATGTACCTCCAAACCAGGATACCGATGTATGGTCTTCCGAACCATTTACGTTGAGGCTATTAAACCGAATCAACAGAAGGAAGCAAGGTCGGGAGAGCAAAATGGGAAAAGGAGAAGGCATCAGATACAAGAAACGGATGCACATCTAATCACTCTGACAAATTCCAGGCCGTATTGTACTTTAGTCTACCAACAATTCACGAATAACAAAACTGACATGACCAATAACCTCTCCTTAGTACAATTCGTATACGCTTGGTAAGGAGAGCATGTAATAGGATTAGACCCTCATTTGCACAAAACATTTAACGTCTCCGGTTCCCGAGGTAAGCCAAACTATAAAGAGAACCACGGTAGGTTGGCAAAGGTACATTACTAATACTTGTGACCTACACTCATACGATTGTAACTTACTCTCTCACTATCTGACTTCATCATCGGAGCGTTCTCCCAGGAGTAATCCAGGTGGATGACTCACTTGTGTGTTGTTATCTCAAGGTTTGGACCTAAAGCATTTTCGAGTCATTAAGATCTTCAAGGACCAAAATCCGGATACCCATCATGTGGCGCCATCCATGGGACCACGTAAAAACTGGTCACCACTGAAAATCCTACTAACAACGTTAACAATAGTCCGGTCATGAGGATGCAAAAGTTACAAGCACGTGGTGAAACGCCTCAGATAGTCATAGAGGCAAGAGAAATGAATGCCCTTTCTCATGAAAAAGATATGCAAAATGAGCAAGATATGAGGGACTTAAAAGAGTTTCAAAGATTTAAAGCCATGGAAATACTATAAAGAAACAAGGAAAAGAAGCAAACACAAGAAAAGAACAATGATGACCGGGTGTCCATGAACACATGGATTTCGAGTGCAACAACTGGGAAAGAGATGGAGGAAGAACGTGGGCGAACACAAACTCAGGAAGAGCAAAGGTCTATAGATTTGCATGGAAAGGATGACTGAAGGGAATAGGATGGGGCTCTAGGGAAGCAAAACTTCAGAAACCTGTTTAGAAATGACATAAACGACACTCCCATTCCTACAGGTCTGAAAGGACCAAGAATGTAGTCTTATGATGGTATAAGAGACCTAGACGGCCATGTATGTAACTTTCAGTGGGCAATTAAGATGATTCCCATGTATCAAAAGTTATGGCGCTTGTATTTTGCAGGAACACTAGATGGGTTGGCTCGCTATTGGCTAGCAAGTCTCCCCCCAAGGAGCATCAGCAACTTCGAAGAGCTGTGCCAGAAGTACTGTAATAGTTTCATACAACAACTAAGGTTTCAACAACAAGCTCGTGTAATATTTGCATACAGACGGATAGAAGGGGATTCGAACAAGGCTTATTTCAAGCGTTTCAATGAGATAAGTAGAAAGATGACCATCATGGATGTTCGATGATCATAAAAGCTTTCACATATGGGTTACTAGAAGGTCATCTCTTCTGTAAGTAGGTGGGATGAGATTGAAATAACATAGAGGAGCTACTCAACAAAGTTAATCGAATTATAAGGCAAGAAGATGAAAGTGTAGAAAAATACACATGGAGAGAGGAGCGGCTCTCCACCTGGAGTGTAAGGAAAAAGGCCTCAATGTGGCCCAAAGGTTCGGTCAGGATGCCCCTGGTTGGACAAGAAGGCAGTCTTGGACAACACGACGAGATAGGGGAAGGTACCCCTATAGACATGAAGCATATGAGGTACGACCTCAAAAAGAGACGAGAAAGGATAATAGAGGAAAAATCCAAAGAAGATACCCTCGGGACTCTGATCAATACTGTGACTTTCATAAAATGTTAGGACATGCAACTGCTGATTGTAAAGGTCTGAAGAAAGAAAAAGAAAGAGGCAAGGGGGTCCCAACCAAAGAAGTGTTGCATGCCGAGAATGAAGAAGTAGTATATGATGCCAATGATGCTGCAACTTGGCGATAACATGTTACCTACAAAAAAGAAAAATAAATGATATTAAACTATTAACAGGTGGTACGCCGTCATGTATTTCAACATCCATGCCAGTTTTGGTGTCAGTGGCCTCTTTGCTGCCACCCTTCCTTCATCCCTTTACCGGTACCTAGTTTTCCCAAATCCTTTCCTTAGGAAACATGACCGATGAAGAGGGTATGGTTAAGGCCCGTACCCACATCTTGGAGGGTTTTGCATTGGATGAATGAGGTTTCATTATGGAACAAAGCTAGGGTTGCTTCCTCTATTGTCACACCCCCGAACCAGATGGCGGAAACGTCCGGGGGCTTGGGTGACTTCATCTTGAAATACCATCACAGTGAATATAAATAAAACATGACAAACACCATCATCATACATACCAAATACAACCATCATTGTTTACATCACGTATTGTATTAAATATTACATGCCCAAATAGTTAATGTATGATGATACAAAATATGACAATTTCCACATTTTCCTGTCGACTTTTCTGCTTAACTATTTCCTGAGAATACAAGTTAATTTGAAAACGTCAACACATATAATGTTGGTGAGTTCATAAGCATGTTTGAGTAAAATGTTTTGTATTACATTGTAAACACCATAAAATCCGATATTTTTCGAAAAACAATTTGAAATGTTTGTGTCCGATCTTGTATTAATGCATGTGTGTTAATGTTTGAAAATGTATAAAGTGAATGGTCCCAGACAATCCGATATTGCCTGTATATAAAACATTGTAACCTTGTCAGTGTAAGTTTTCGTGTTACCAAACTGTAAAGGTATTCCGTAAATTTTATAATGGAGTTAATTCCTCTAAGTGAGTCGTTATAACCATACTTGATAATGACTAATTCGCCTGTCATGACATTTTTTCAGACGCCGACTTGTTTATGGTAAGGTTTATCACCCTAGACTGGCCTAGTCTAACTGTAGCGAACAGCTCAGGTGCGGGGTGTCAACCCC